TATATATATATATATATATATATATATATATATATATATATATATATATATCCTTATAGTGTAGTAGAAAGAGACTTTTATGGTAAAAAAAAAAGTCTCTTTCGACTACAATTTTTTTACCTCGTTTCTTAAGCTGTCAAAATTTTTTTAATTAGTGGTGTTTTTGTTTTATTAAAAAACATTTTTAAAACATGTGTAAGTGTTGCTACATCGACTATCTTATAGCCTGCTGTTACAAGGTAGTGTTGCTACATCGACTGTTATATAGCTTGACTCGCAAGGGAGTGCTGCTATATTGACTGGCAAATAGCCTGACTCGCAAGGGAGTGCTGCTATATCGACTGACAAATAGCCTGACTCGCAAGGGAGTGCTGCTACATCGACTGAGGGTTTGGTTTTTGCAGGCAGTTTTTGCAAAATTTTTTTTTGAAGTTTTTTAACATTTTCTGGTCAGGCTTATTAACGCGCTCTTTAAAACAACAGTTAATGGTAAAAACTTTGTGACTACCATGCAAGACTATATATATATATATATATATATATATATATATATATATATATATATATATATATATATATATATATATATATATATATATATATATATATATATATATATATATATATATATATATATATATATATATATATATATATATATATATATACAGTAGCGTCCAAAAGTTTGCGGACAGGCAAAAAAATAAGGAATTTTACTTAAATTTCAGCACATATTTCACTAATGCCAACATATTATATACCAATTAAAAGGTTTCCAAGTTAACAATTATGTTTTGAGCAAATAATGAATATTTAATTATCATTTTAAAATGGATTAACAAAGTGGCGATTTTTGATAAGTTCAAAAGTTTGCAGACAAACTAACGCTTTTAACATTTTCACCACAAAATAGTTAATTTGTTGATTTTATAAACAAATACTTTGTGGAAATAATTTCAAAACTTTATATATAAGTGATTGAGATCATAGGATCTAAGAAATGTATTTCATCTCCAGTAAAAAAATTGATCTTAAGATCAGTTTAGAATGGAAACTCGTTTCGTAAAACAGCACAGCTTTATGGAGTTGGTAAGTCTGCTGTTAGCAAATTATGAAGAGATTTGAGCTTACTAGATCTACAAAGAATAAAAATCAATCAGGAAGGCCACGCAAAACAACGCGTTATCAGGATAAAAAGCTTGTAATACTAAGCAAAGAAAATCCCCGTTTGACAGCTGTCGATTTAAACGTACAAATGAGACGTTTCTATGGAATGAATTGTAGTATTTCTATCTATAAAATGTTGTCACGCTAATTTGTTTGGAAGACGCCCAGCTAAAAAACCATTAGTTTCCTTGAAAAACCGTAACGCCCAAATGGAATTTGCATCAAAACATCTAAAGTGGAGTAGTCAAAAATGGTCAAAAATTCTTTTTAGTGACGAAAGCAAATTTATGCTGTTTGAATCCGATGGAATCAGGTATGTTCGACGTCCAGTAGGCACTAGGTACAATCCTAAATACCAACTGCCTAACGTAAAATATGGAGGAGGTAATGTAATGGTTTGGGGATGTTTTAGCCGAAATGGAGTTGGTCCTCTCCATAAAATTACCGAGAATATGAATCAAGAAAAGTACAAAGATATATGTAAGACTATTATGTTACCATATGCAAAGGATAAAATGCCTCGAGGATGGATTTACCAACAGGATAACAATCCCAAACATACAGCTTAATCGGTTTTAGAGTTTTTCAAAGAGAGTAAAGTTAATGTTTTGAAGTGGCCATCCCAATCACCTGACTTAAATCCCATTGAACATCTATGGGAACATGTTGACCATCAAATGAAAGGAATTAAGCCTACAAATTATGCTGATTTATTTAATAAAATCAAAGAATTATGGGACTTAATTCCCATTGATGTTTGCATTAATTTAGTTGAGTCTATGCCTCATAGATGCCAAGCTATTCTTGATTGTAAAGGATATCCTACAAAATACTAATGTGATTTTGCTTTTGCAAAAATTTTGATCAAATATTGTTGAAATATTTTAACTATTTTAAAAAATAATGCTTTGTCCGCAAATTTTTGAACTTATCAAAGACCGTTGATTTGTATACCAATTTAAAAATATTATTTAGATAATAATTATTTGTTCAAAACCTAATTGCAAATTTGAAAACCTTTTAATTGGTATATAGTATGTTGGCTTTAGTAAAGTATGTGCTGAAATATAATTAAAATTCCTTATTTTTTTGCCTGTCCGCAAACTTTTGGACGCTACTGTAATATATATATATATATATATATATATATATATATATATATATATATATATATATATATATATATATATTATATATATATTATATATATATTATATATATATTATATATATTTATTATATGTATATATTATATATATATATTATATATATATATTATATATATAAATATATATATATATATATATATATATATATATATATATATATATATATATATATATATATATATATATATATATATAATATTCAAATGAATATTAATATTTTTCTATCAAAGTATAAAATCAGCAAAACAGTGACCTAAGAGTTGAAAATATGAAGGTTAGGCTAGGAAAAAATTATATTTTGTTAAGAAAACATACCTGCCCACAAAATTTTGGTGGTAGTTAAAGTTAAGTTTACTATTTCTAACATTGATTATGTTTACCAGATTAGTGACTATTATCTTTTTCCATGATTGAAGAAATTCCTTTCTAAAAATTTACTTAAATGGACAATAAACTGTATGTTCTTTTGACTGAAAACAATATTTTCACAGTTTGGATTAAAAAAGTCAACAGAGTACAGCCATAATTATATTTTAAAGTTTTTTTTAAGGTTTTTAAAGTTTATCCAATGTTTTTGATGTCAGTCTTAAAAGCAAATTTGTATATATTGAATAGATTATTTTTATTACTTACAGGTTTTAATTTTGATTTTTCTCAAATTTATTTAAGTATTATTTTCCCCTGCCTAACTGTATGGACAGGGGATAAATTGTTTATCTGATTGCTATAACCCCAATCAAACAATTTTTTCCTAACTGTTTACCTTTATAGGCAATAGACAACCATAAATAGACAAAATTAGACAAATCATTAAAAATAAATGTAAAAAAAAAGGCACAAAACATCCTTGAAAATATGTATAATAAAGTGAAAAAGCCCAAAACATTGAAAAATAACAGATTTAGCTATTTCAATTCAGTTTAAATATTTTACTCAAATTTGTAAACAAATATAATCTACTATAGACAGGCTGTGAATAATATTTTAATATATATAAATATATACATATATATATATATATATATATATATATATATATATATATATATATATATATATATATATATATATATATATATATATATATATATATATATATATATATATATATGTATGTATACATATATATACATATATATATATATATATATATATATATATATATATATATATATATATATATATATATATATATATATATATATATATATATATATATTTAATGAGAATGAAAAAGAAAAGATAAAATCATTACATCCCACCCCCATCTCACCATCTACTGACCACCTCCCCAGTTAAAATAATTCTAAAGTTCTACTATTACAAACCCTCCAATCAGTGAGTTTTTGCTATTGGGGGTATGCCTTTAACTGTTTGACCCCTAAAGGTAGGCAACAAAAAGATTGACAAATAATATTTTAATTTTGTATTTGTTTCTCATGGTAGTGTTTATGTGTTTATGTAGCTATCTAACATTACTAATTGTAAAATAAATTTATGTATATATTCTGCATTTACATCAATGAATACAAAAACTCTTGGTGATTATAAATGTATTTTTACTGAGGTCTTGAAAACAAATTTTACTTAAGTTGGAGTTTTTCTCATTTTTATTGGTGAAAAAAAAAAAAGAAAGCTGTTGATTAAAATATGCGCCCTAATCACTTGAATCTAATGGTTAAACCAAAAAATCAAAATTGTTGTGACATTTCATTGAGTAAATCTGTTTTATTGCTTTATTTATTTTTTAAATTTAGTTTTTTTTTTTTTTTTTAATTGTTTTTAAATTACCAAGAAAATAAAGGCATCAATATTATTTAATTTTATTGCAGAGATAGTCGCAGACTTTCAACAACAGATATTCCAATAAGGTTAGATTTTTTTACTTTCCAATATAAGTTCACTTAAATATTTGACTATGAAATGAATGCACACACACACACACACACACACACACACACACACACACACACACACACACACACACACACACACACACACACACACACATATATATAAAATCTGGTTTAAACAAAAAAAGAAAAAAGAAAAATTGTAATAATCAGTAAACAACTGCTAAATTAATAAGCACAATCAAACACACTTCCTGCATGCAAATTTTAATATTTAAGTTTATTTATTTTAGATATTTGCTATTTGCAATATAAATTTTTTTTTTATAAAAAGCATATTTTAATTATATTGTACACCAATAGCAACGTTTTATTGAACAACATAAATTATTTGATAAATTATATATAGAGATTGTATCAAAATACAAACATAAAAATTATTTTTTCTTGATCACCAGAATTCTGAGAGTTTGCATATTTAAAGTCAATAAAAAAAAGATTTTAAGTTAGGTTAAACTTTCTTTAGACTCACTTTGCAATACATTCTAACTTTGAGATTTACTCTTTTCTTTTAAAATTGGGAAGTGAGTTTTGCGAGTTAATAGTTTTATCTGTTTGATTTTTATGTTGTACCTGTGTAGCCTTTATTTTTTACTTGTAGCCTTTTCTTTTACTTGTATAGCTTTTATGTTAAACCTCTGGCGAGGTGTTAACTCACTCGTAAGTTGCACATTCTAATATCTAGTGCAATTATCTTTTCTATGCTATCTTTCCAACTCGACTTCTGACTTTCACTCTAATTCCTTCGTTCT